TGGTTTAACTTTAAATACATAATAAAAACACAATAAAAGTTTTATTAAATACAATAAAAAGAAGATAAATGATAACTATACTTCTAAAGAAATAAACTATAAATAATAAGAAATTAAAAGTGAAGAGGAGATAATTTTTTTTGCCTTGGGGAAAAAGGCAGGATTTTTATATCTTTTAGACTATTAATAAACAATCCAGTTAATGATCTAATTAATGACTTAGTTAATGACCTAGTTAATGATTTAGTTAATGACCTAGTTAACGACCTAGTTAACAACCTTTTTAACAACCTAATTAACGACTCTTTTAACAACCCAGTTAACAACCCTTTTAACAATCCAGTTAACGACCCTTTTAACAACCTTTTTAACAATCCAGTTAACGATCCTTTTAATAACCCAGTTAACGACCCTTTTAACAACCCAGTTAATGATCTTTTTAACAATCTAGTTAATGATCCTTTTAACAACTCAGTTAATGATCCATTTAACAACCCAGTTAACAATCCTTTTAACAACCCAGTTAATGATCCATTTAACAACCCAGTTAACAATCCTTTTAACAATCCAGTTAATGATCCATTTAACAACCCAGTTAATAACCCTTTTAACAACTTAGTTAATGATCCATTTAACAACCTAGTTAATATATCAGTTAATGTATCAATTAACATATCTGTTAATATACTAGTTAATGTACTTGTTAACATACCTAATATTATACTAAAATTTTACTATTAAACTAAGCTAAAAATAAATATATAATAAATATAAATTATACTAATAAAATATACTAATAAAATCTTTTAAAATATGCTAATAAAATCTACTAATATAACATTAGTATAAAAAATTTAAATTAATAATAATTTTTTTTTAAATTAATAAACTTTTACTATACTTAACTAAATTAATTAAATATATTATATAAATAGGTAAACAAAATAAAGTTAAATACGTATAACTTAAAACCTATTAAAGTAAAAATATTTATCTGAATTTAATAGTATAATTTCCCCGACAGGCTATTTAACCGACATCACGTCGTGTGAAAATTCACTAACAAAATAATAACTGCAACTAACAAAATGCTAAATTATCACGCAGTATGATGTAGATAGATGGTCGGGGAAATGACGGTCAGGAAGTTGAGCGCATCCATTTAGCATATCTAAATATGATCAATAAGGTAAATATTATTGCTAAAAAACATTTTAAAAGAAGAATAATATATATTTATATAAATTTATATATAAATATACGTATAAAAAAATAAATCTTTTCAAGTATTTTTTATGCTATATACGTTAAGTTATAAAACATAAACTTAGCTTTAAAAACCAAATAAGACCAAACTAAATAAATTTCTTTTCTAAATTTGTCGTTATAGAATAAACGGGCAATCTTTTTTACAAGCTTATAAATATTTTAAATTACGTAATAAAAAAATAATATAGCGATAGTAATAAAAATATAATACGTAAATAATACGTATATGTACGTACGTATATAGACGTATATAGTTCGTGTACATTTATTACGTATTCTTATTTGATCATTTTAACAAAATTAGTACGTAACGGGTAAACATTAATTCAATACTTATTTAAAACATTTAACCTTTCTAAATAAATGAAACAACGTTTTCAAAATTGATTATGAAGATAAGGTAAATTATTTATTTTTACGTTAAAGATCAATAAAAAAAATTTTTTAAAAAAAATTAAAGAATTTATACGTAAGAATAGAATATATTTTGATATGCACAATAACCCTCGTTAATATCAAACTTCGTTAATATTAAAGTTAATGCTAAGTTAATCATAAAATTTCACTACATATACAGGTTTGTTATCCATTCACTTATAGTATATCGGAACCCTTAGGTTGATACGTATCAACCGTATCAGTATAAGTTAGGAGTTAACCAAACCAGAAATAAGCTAGTAATACTGCGGTAGCATGGGAAAAAATACGTATTTTCGTATGTAATATCAATATATAGTATACGTACGTACATACGTAAGTACTGTACGTATGTATCTGGTATGTACGTACTTACGTATCAGGTATCTAGAATAATATTGGCAAGTGACCAGGAATGACCCAGTAACTGAAAAACCATGTGAATAAAAAGACTGGTGCATTAATAAAAAAAGAGATTTACCCGATTGAAAAAGAATTATATTGAAGGATTGATTGTGAAAATTAATTTTGAGGGAGGATATCATCACATGTGACATCTTTACGTAAATTTACATATATTTTTGATATCGATATTACAGTATTAGTAAATAAAGATAATATATATATATATATAGTATATAAATAAATAAATATAATATAATAGTATATAGTATATAAATAAATAAATAAATATAATATAATAGTATATATATAGTTAAATATAATAAATAGTAAAAGATAATACGTATATATGTAGTAAATATGATATCGGTATATTATATGTGATACAGTAATATCGAACTAAAGAGTACAAAGATAACCGATAATAAACATATTATGAACCATGCTAATAAAGACATATATTAAGGTTTACAGATTAGATCTCGAACTTAAAAAAAAAGATTTACCTTTTTAAATAGAAATGAATATGAATGAATAAGTATTGACTCGAATCAACTCAAATCAACTTAACTTTTTTGGAAACATTAATATTTTAACTTTATTGTTAGTTTTAACTTTATTTAGAAGATTGCAGATAACCTTAAAGGTATTTTATACTAACAAAAAATTGTACGTATACGTGGATGCATATGTAATAAGTAATCTTGCTGACGTAAGCCTTTTTTTAACATTAATGTTAATGATGATACAAATTTGCGGGCGATCTAGAGTGACAGATGTCACTTAAAATGATAAATCGTAAAAAATAAAGACCAATTAGAACAGAAATATATAGCCGTGCAGTTATTATTATTTTTTGTAGGTTAAGTGGTTCTTAGAATGTAAGTAATTTTCTCGCGTAACGTGACTTCTGAATGCATCAATGAACCTACGAATGTAAATGCCAATATCAGTTATCGATATAGTTATACATATGCAAAGATAGTTAACATGTGCAAAAAATTTTCTTAATAATTGGATGACAAGAAAAAAAGCCCGCCAAAAAAATTTAATAAGGGAATATAAAATAAATAAAATGGGTCAAATGAATTCTTAAACTGTGAAAAAAAAAACAATATTAATGCGGACGATTAAGATTACGAAATCATTTTAGCTGCATATGGACACTTAAATAATGTGTTGTGACACGTAGTAAACATGTATGTAAACATGTAGTAAACATGTACGTATATAGTTATGTATATAGTTATGTATGTTGTTATGTATATAGTTATGTATGTTGTTATGTATATAGTTATGTATGTAGTTATGTATGTAGTTACTGTATGTTATGTACGTATGTACTTCATATCCACTTCATATGGAACAACATAATTCTAAAATGTACATATGTACATTTACGAAACTTCTACTGTCAGTTACGTACGTACTTACAGTGTACTTACTTACGGACCGAGCAAAACAAACTACTGTATTTAATCGGTACGTAGCTTTGTTTTGTTTATTTAGCGCTAATTTAGCGTTAATTAGCGTTAGTATTGGAAATCCAGGTCACGTGGCTACCTCAATGATGTGACACATTGATGTGCGTGATATGTCTGTCCATTTACTCTTATTTTGTGTCTGCACGTTTGCACAAGAAGCCATGCTGTAAATATACGGATAAACATATGAATCTTAATATGGCGCCAAAATTCTTTATTAATCAACTTTCATTTTACCTTTGAATGGCTTTATTGGAATTCGGCGTAGCACGTCATCACGTCATTTCCTCCTGTCTTTCTTTTATTAGCTTCCTTTTTTCCTTTATTCTGTTCATGGAACTGGGGTTTCTATGTATGTCAATTATAATTAACTTATAAAATCTTTAAGAAATGAAAGGAAAATTATGTGAGTTCTCTTATTCACACATTTGGTCCATAATCACATTCTCATTGGTCTTTTCCCGCATGGGTTTTCCATATCGGTGACGCGACATTTTATACTGTTTTCTTATAAAATATTGACAGGAGCCTGCATTGTTTAAATATCAATGATTAACATTTATTTACACACCTGCTCCACTTCGTCTTGTTTGGGTTCTCGATTGGACCTTAATTTAGTTTAAATAGTTTTTATATCACCGCCGATTGTCCCGATTGGTTCATCTATGCAATTGTGAAAATTGTGAGCCACCATAAATCTGACTTTTATATATAAACACAACGATCTTAAAGGGCTGAAGTAAAAAAATTTTTTTTCTTTTCTTTTACGGACGCAAGGCTACTTTTTATGTTATTCATTGAAGAAAGACTTTTCTGCATCTTTTATCATTATTCTTTGTAACAATCATCTGTAGGATCTTTTTAAATAAGTAAGCATTATTTGTATTTTATGCATAGCTGCGTATTTGTCATATGTCCTGATTTATGATTTACGTCACCTTTATACCTTTTTCTCCCTGTCCAATCAACTCAAAAACTTTATAAACTTTAAAAAAAAAGTAATCGAACTCTTTAAACCACTATTTCAATCTAATATATTGCTGGCGCAGCATCTCATAAGCCACAACTAATGAGTCTATTAAGTCTGAACCATGAATATCAACGAGTCCCCACAGAAGATGATACTATTAAAGGTGTAGAGACAAGGTACGATATGATCATTACATTGAGTTGTTGATTATATTGCTTTTATCAATTTACTTACTTTTTATCGATTTTATCAATTTATTTATTTTTATCGATTTTATCAATTTATTTATTTTTATCGATTTTATCGATTTTTATTTTTTTTATCGATTTTTTAGAACTACAAAACCAGTTCCACTAGATGTGATAGAACGAAACAATCGTGCTGCAAGAAATCAATCTTCATTCGATCGATTATTTTGTAAAAGATTCTTTCGAATATGTAAAATCCTTTTTTCTCGTTCAAATCCTGATGGAAATCTTATTGGAATATGGTTTATCTTTATCTTGGCCAGCCTTATAAATGAGGTTGCCGTATATTTTGCTGGAAGTATTCCTAGTAGATTTTACATGATTTTGATCAGTAAAGACTTTGATGGCTTTCAAACTCTCTTGATTTTTTCGGGGCTTATTGTTTTGGGTGCTGGCCTGGTATGTCTCCTTTTATCTTTTTATTTATCTTAATATTATGTTTTATATATATTCCTTGTAGGTTTATTTCATTCTGAATTCATATCTTGTAATTTTAGGGTAAAAGTGTTGTAAAATTTGTTGGTGGAATATTTTCTTTATTCACCAGAAAAATTTTGACAAAACACTTGCAAAGTAAATACGTCAATCAAAATACTTTATATCGACTTTTAACCATGCGTCCAGATATTGATAATCCGTATGTATATATTTTAAAAAACGCGTCAATTATATAGAATTGTCTATAATCGTATAGAAATTGTATGTTTATAATTGTATATAATCGTATAGAAATTGTATGTTTATAATTGTATATGATTGTCTATAGTTATCTAGAATTGTTTATAATCACATATAGAATTGTTTATAATCACATATAGAATTGTTTATAATCACATATAGAATTGTTT